GATGGGCGCTTCACAGTCCTCTCTTTCTGGAAATAGACACCATTATGGCAGTCGATTGGTCCTGGAGCCTCGGTGAACATGTGATTGCAAAGCCTGGCTGGTCTGCTTCGGTGAGGGGGCTGGTGAGTGGCTGCTTCAGAACATCATGTACAGACACAGGTCCAAACGCATAATCACACACACACACACACACACACACACACACACACACACACACACCACCTTCCACCTCCACAGCAGGCTGCACAGACAGGCAGCATGAATATTTATCAGAGCAGTGTATAATGAGTTCACACATTGGACCAGCAATTCTTTCATATTCTCATGAATCGTACGTTTGACAGCGATTCTGGTATCCAGCTGATTTCTCCGCTCGTCAGTATGCGGCGCGGTGACCTGCACTGTGGCCTGGTCACATCCCCAGGGCAGAAGGGGCTCGCCTTCTTAAAATGCTACCATAGACTGAAAAATGTTTTTTTAAATATTGTCATGTGCCGCCCGCCGTTGGATCAATATCAAATCAAAGACATCTCATCGCTAAAGATTAGTGCTAAGGTTACATTTTTCTGCTGGCTTTCATTCGAACAAAAAACATAAATGTCAGTTCTAAAAATGGATTAGCGAGAGCAAGCCGCTGCTAGTGTTGTTCACAACCTTTCAAACCAAATTCATCAACTGCACACACACACACACACTACTGCCCACAAGCGCACAAACCATTCTCGGCAGTAATACTTCCTGTCCTGTGCGGATTTATTACTGTGAGAGCAGAATATGTTTGTGATTGGAATGGACTGCTGTTCAGTCTCATATATTCAACACAACACTTGAACAAATATGGTGCCTGTTTGTTCGCCTGTAAGACCGGTATTTTGATTGACTGGAAAGCCAATTTTTCCTGATTGTGTATATGTGTGTGTGTGTGTGCAGCTAGTGTTTGTTTGACCACACTGTGACCTGCCGTCTAATAGTCGGTCTGCATTTGACACATGCAGAGATTCGCTGCAAGTTATAATTGTATGATTTATAGCTGACAAAAGAGAGGGGAGCCAATTACAGAGCTGTAATGTCTGCGTCATGCCTCATATCCCCTGCTCTGTCAACTTTCCACTACAGCAATATGAGCCATCTCTGACGTTCATTAATGACTATTACCCTGTTTATTGTCCATTTGGGCCCCCTTAGTACCTGGTTTTGTTTGGTTTGGTTGGGGTGGGTAACTACCTGAAACACTGTATTCGCACCTAATTGGCCGATGCCTCGTTGCGTCTGTACAGTAGCAGAGGCTGAAGCAGTCATAACCAGCAGGTAATAGGGACTGGAGTACTAAAAGAAATGTACTCTCCTTAATCCCACTGTACTGGTAAGAATATTTTGAACGTAGCTTCATATCCTTTAATTAAGAGTATGTTTTACCAGGTCAGTCTTGACAGATTGCTTTGCCGCTATGTGATGAGTACTATATATGGTTTGAAAATTTGCTAGTCACCAACATTCACTCATAAAAATCTTTCGAGATGTGTTAGTAGGAATTTATGTGCGTTTACCACAATGTCCAAATCAGGTCCTAGTTGGCACAAACACAGGGAAACAGTGTGTTTCAGTGTTTCTCATGCAGTGTGTACATGCATCAAAAACTTTATCAATCTTCCGATTACTTGTATTGTTTGAAATGTCAGCAAATAGCAAAGAATTCCTATCACATCAGAGCCCATGGTGACGTCCTAAAGACCCTTAAATCATGGTTTCTTAGTCAGTTTCATAAAATGAGTGATGGGGTCCGACATGACCACATGCTTTTTTTTCTGCTTAGTTGCAGAAATGTGAAGTGATGTACTTCCATGCAATAATCAGAATTTCTCAACATGTGATGATCGTTGGTGGGTTGTTTGCTTATGTTGCCAGGCCACTGTCAATCAAACCTGATCAAACGACACCCACACAGTCCTGATGAAACAGATTAGCGGAGTATTCCAATGTTTAATAAATGCAAATAATGCTCTTAATAAATAATACCTAAGTATACCTTTTCCAAACTTTATCTTAAATTGTGGCTTATTAAGTCATGCATTAAAGAGAAATGCTCATAAAAAATTACAGGGGACACTCAGTTGAGCCGGAAACCGGGAAATATTTACAAGCTGTCAGAAGTTCAAGTCAGAAATGATATAAATGATGATTCGATTCTCAAAATAGTTTGTTTCCTATTGATCAATCTATTGATTAAACAACTATTCATTTAAGATCTTGATAACATGTATACGTCTCATATATTTTAAATAAATCACCTATGATGTACAAAATAAATAAAATATGTTCTGGAAATAAACCGTTCTTCTGCAAATGAAAAAAAGTGTTTTGTGTCCCACTTTTTATTAAATGTAAACACACACTTTTCCATTGTTAAATATGTTTGTGCATGTAAATCCAGCCCCACCCAACATCCAAACAAAAAAGGTTGTAGGAGAAGTAGAAAAGTGTGTGTAGGGATTTGGACCTGAGGGTTTGTGGTCTTGTACAGGCTATCTGCGGTCCACTTGTGTGTAACAGATATGGCTGCTGTGTGCGCTGGTGTGGCTAATGGAGCAAATGGTGGGTGAGACGCGAGGGCTGGCTGACGGGGAAATGGGGTCATTTAGTGTCATAACCTCGCTCGCGTAATCTACAGTTTAATACACGGCTTTTGTGTTTCTTTATGAGACATGCTTTGACTCACTGTGGGACTTTTTAATGGCCTCATCTTTCTGAATGATCATTGGAGTTACACAGTGCGTTGGCTAATATAATCTGTACCCTGGGGTGTGTGAGTGTGTGTGTGTTGTGCCGGTGTGTGTGTGTGCACGGCTGCAGGCTACTGTGTGTAACCAGAAGAGTGAGGGAGATGGCGAGTTTATTGTGAGTATGCGTGAAAGAGAGTGGCTTTTTCCGTGTGTGTGTGCGTGTGTGTATTCACGTGTAAAATGTGTCAGAGGTCTGTGTGCTAATCTATGCGTGAGAGGAATTGCTGTGTAAAAAAGGATTCACAGCAGAGTGAGCGGTACGCCGGACTACACCGCTGCATTTACATGATCAATGTTTATTGCAAAATATGTGTGTGTGTATGTGTGTGTGTGTATCTCTGTGTCCATCAACTGTGTCTGTATGTGTGTAGGCCTATTTTAATTGTTGCCATGGAAACAGAGTGCTGCCAAAGAAGTCCAGATTCAAAGAGGGCATCTCTCTCTCTCTCTGTCTGTCTCTCTCCCTCCTCTCTGTCTTCCTTCCATCCCTCTTTCTTGCCTTTTCTGCCGCTTTCTTTCATCTTTCTTGCGTCTCTCTCTCTCTTGTTCCCTCCCTCCCCATCCCTCCTCCCTTCTCTATCTCCTCTTGCCTCTTAACGTCCCTCCCTCATTCCTACTCTCCCACCTCTCCATCCTTCCTGGAGAGTGGTGTGCAATTGACTATTAACACAGGGACCTGTAATTAGAGCTGACGAACCTCCAGCAATTAGTTTTCCCTAAAGAAGTTGTTCTGTCATCTCTGTGTACATCCCTTTATCCCTCTCTCAATCTCCTACTTGCTTGTTTCTTCCTCTCTGTCATTTCCTGTCTTATTAGCTGTCAGCTTCACAGGGTGGTTATTGTTTTAGTGTTTTTGTTCCTCTTTGTACCTTCCATCTTCCTTGTTAAAGGCAGTCATGTATGAGATATACACACAATACACCACTCAGAATAAGTTTATGAGCAACAACACCCCCACTGTCCTGGGTATCTCTGCCCACAAAACCAAAGTGATCTGAACATCTATTCCCACCGACTGTACACCTACACAGACTATATGCTGAGAAACCCAAGAGGACACATGCCCTCCCACACACAGAGATGTAAACATACAGAGAACACACACATCTTTGTCAGAAAGGTTCTTTTTCATGTCTGCCTTTATCTCCAGCTGTGTTGCTGCTGTCCCACCTTGCTGCTGTCATCTCCTTTCTCCTCTTGTTCTCTTGTCTTCTCTGGATCTTGCTCATTTCCCCTCTCCCCCTTTTATTTTTGACTGGGCTCGCAAGGCCCTTCCTTCCCTCTGCATCCGCATTAATGAAAAGCTCTATTAATAAGCACAGAGAAGAGGGGGTCGGAGAGTGAGAGAGATATGGTCAAGTAGAGCATGGGTGGGAGGTGGAAGTACAGACCGCAAACGGCTTTGAGTGTTAAACTAGGCCAATAGGGGTTGAGGGAGGAGGAGCGGGTATCATATCAAAGCCTTGTGAGTTGCTCCGAGCGCCTCTGCCGTCAATCACGTAATCAATTTCGGCGTCAGTCAGTTTGTCTGCGTCTCGGGTCGGTATGTCACTCATCTCGCTCCAGACAGTTTGTCAGTCAGTCGGACTTGGCGTGGAGCTGAGTTTTCCTCCATCTGCCCTCTCACTCTCGTTTGCATTCCCTGTACGACTTCGCTCTTGCCTACATCCTCTGTTGCTCCCTCCCTCGCTCCCCTGCCGTCCTCCCCTGTCAAGAAGCCAGCATCTCTGGAGGGAAAGTTTATATCCTCCATAATATATAACATAATGCTGCTTCAGAACATTGTACATGAATTATTTATTTGTGTGAGATTATATGTAAACTATATGCAATCCTACCATGTATCTGTGTATGTGTTTATGCCGTATTTATGTGTGACAAGTGTGACCTCTCCTCTCATCTCTCTTTAAAGCCTCGTTTTCCACAAGGTTTCTCTCTCCTTCATTCTCTCCCTTTATTGCCACATTTCTGTGGACTGACATTGATATGCACTGATTCATATGATGCATGTAGCCTCTCGGCAATTCACTTTATTCAATCAATGTCGCATGGTGCTTTATTAACCTCTATCTCCATCTCTCCATCTCCCGCCTCTCTCTTTTTTCCCCTATATTTTCTTTCTTGTTATCTTGCTTTGTCAAATCTCTGCCTGCCCCTCCTTCTTTTTCTTTTCTCTCCGTCTCTTTCTGTTCCACTCCTCCTCTTCCTCTATCACTCCAGGTACTACTCTCCCACTCCACCACCATGCCTGTCTGCGGCTGCCGCAGCCCCACCCCGCCTCATGGCCAAGCCGGGGCCTCCTCCTCCGCCCCCTCTGCCTCCCAGGAGAGGCGAGTCCGACCCCTACATCCACCCCCACCTCCATCTCTCCACCGCAGCACCAGCGGCTCTCTCTGCCTCTCCCTCCTTCTCCTGCTGCTCTGCCTTCTCCACCTTCCCCCGGCCTGCCACTCACGGAGAGAAAAGGGAGGGGGAGGTGGTGGCGGCCACTACATCCCTATCCCCCAGCCCCCTCCCCACCAGATGGCCCTGCCCAACATCCTGCGTGGCCTCAGCATCGCTGTTGTCCTGGTGGGCAACTCCAGCGAGGTGGCGCTGGCTGGGGCTCGGGAGAAGGAGGACTTCCTCCACATGGCGCCCAACGTAGAGGTGCTGACCATGAATGAGACAGACCCTAAAAGCATCATTAAGAGCATCTGTGACCTAATGACTGAGCACTGGCTGCAGGGCGTGGTGTTTGGAGATGACACTGACCAGGAGGCCATCGCCCAAATCCTCGACTTCATTTCAGCCCAGACCCATATCCCTATCCTAGGAGTTCGTGGGGGTTCCTCCATGATCATGGCTGCCAAGGTAGGACACTCAAAGTATTTCTTTTCAAACAGTACAGTTTATGTATAAACAAAAAGTTGTCCCCACTTCCAGTAATTGTACAAGGAAGTATGTGTGGGTGGTTTGAGTGTTAAAATTTGAAGAGGGGCTCACCTGTAATAACAGTGAATGGAAAGTGCTGATAAATGCAGTATCCTGCACTTAGCTGTGACCGCTGCTCCTACATAAAATGTTTAATTTGATGGTTGTCACAAAAAACACCAACTGTCAAAATTATGTCTAACCACACTTACGACAACTCCACTTAAATTTTGTTATTGGAAGTTCAGCAAAGACAGCAGATCTACTTGTTAAGCTACTGTTATGCTACTTTCCTGTGCTGCATAAGATGGTGTTTGGTTCGTGTAAGGCCCGTCTATGAGCTTAAATCTCTGCTAGATGGCACTCTGCTGTCAATCATAGCTGTACTTCTGTCACTCCTGCCACGGGTAGATTTTATCACCATACAGCGCTTCTTTTCCATCAACAAAAGATGGATAGAGCTTAAACTCCTGTAGAGGTTTTGCCGTGTCTTTTTCTAAATGGTATCAGTGTTTTGGCATGTCTGCCGTATACACTACTGCATTGTCCTCTTAATATCAAGTTTGCCTAAAACAGTGATGCCATTTTGACTGATTTGGCTGCAACGGAGGAGTTCTCGTCTCATCCCTATAGCGCCATACTGCATAGTATTAACTCTGGGTGCAGACAGACAGACAGACAGGCCGGGTAAGCTGGGGTGTCTGACTTGAAAGACAAACTGCCAACAGTTCTGATGCCAGTTACAGGATCAGCTGGAGATTGCACCACAACAGAGAGCTAGATCTCTGCCTATTTACTAGGCCTTGCCTAATGGGATAAAGCAATCTGCTGCTGCTTTATCTGTGTCCGCCTGGGATCTAGGCTTGGACCCCATTCTACAAAATCAGCTCATTCATTTGGTACTTTGTGCATAAATCCAGCTGTATTAAATAATAACCAGTTAAAGGAAATATTAATTTAATGTGTCTTCCATGTGTTGAAAGTGAAACCTTTATTAGAACACTGACATATGCTTCTGCTGTCAAGAAATCGCTTGACGCTGTTTAATTTGGGGCCTCATAGAGCCCAGTCTTATCTCAGTCATCCTTGTCTCCACGCCATCGTCCTCCAGTTTGTCTGCTGACCCTCTGGTGTCAGCAGGTCGTTGTACCAGCAGAGACATGAGTCGCAGTGACATGGCAAGGCCAGCGGCCACCACAGAAGCTCTTATCTCTGTTCCTTCTCATTAGAGCGCTAAGGAGAGAAATGGCAGAGAACAGTCCACTCCCATTTAAAACTTCGCCCTTCCAAGCGCACATACAAAAACTGCTATACAAAATGCACATTTTCTGACAGCGCAGTGCTCATACACAAACACACCTTATGTACTTTCTTAAATATCTAAATATTTGCCCCTGAGCTGTGGCCACATGTGTCTTTAGTGGAGTTGGGGGTTAAAGCCGCTCTGCTACCCCTGACTTTAAGCCTTTTGCGCTCCGGCACCTCTAAAGTGTGCTCCGTCACTGCACTGCCCTTCTACACAAATAAAATCCAAGATTTCATCCAACCTAATAGGGTAAGTCTAATGGATTTCCTTATTTACTATTTGATTTGGCTAATATTAGTTTCTGTTCGCCCTTTAAAACGATGTGCAGGTACACCATGCGTTTTAAATAATTAATTATTTTCGGCAGGTGGAACATTTCAAGTGCTCCAGCACCTAATAATTTACAAATTAAGCACTGCCTAAAAGCATATAAATCTTTTAAGATAGATAGATAGATCTAGATGGATGTGGGAAGAGGAGGGAAGTAGTGGAGGGAGGGGTAGTTAAGGAATGCATGGGCCTGTGTGTGTGTGTGTGTGTGTGTGTGTGTGTGTGTGTGTGTGTGTGTGTGTGTGTGTGTGTGTGTGTGTGCGTGCAGAGACAGTAGCATTCATTAAGCACACGTGCCCTAAGTGCACCAGGCAGCGGGAAAGAGCAGTGTTTTGTGGCAGAGGTTTAAATGGATTTCCCCGGCCACAAGCCAGAGTCTGCCTCTCCTGAGAGCTTCCTCCTGGCTGCACCAGGGCCCAGGAGAGCGAGGACCGGCGCTGAGGCTCAGTCTCCAAACGGATTTGTGTCTGCCTAATGGGCTGAGACAATGGAGGGGCGAAAATACGATAGAGAGGGATCAGAGGGAGGGAGAGAGCGAAAGAGAGAGAGAGACATGGGGAAAGTGGAGAAATTGAGATAGTGAGGATGAGATTGGGTGGAAGAAATTTCTACTTTGAGTGAAAGCGGGTAGGGGAAGAGAGGCGGGAATTGTTTGAGGGCTTTTTAAGCCATCAGGTGGGGTTCAGAGGGGGCTGCCTGTAGAGGTGATGGACAGATGAGAGAAGAGAACAAGGCCTAAGTCAACAGCAGAAGAGGAGACCGAGTTTTACACCATTCAGACTGGGAGGAAAGGGGTGGGGTGTCAGAGAGGCAGAGAGAGGTAAGAGAGAGATGTGGAGGGAAAGAGAAAACCTTTACACTTTCTCCCGTATGGACAGCAAAGATGGCGAGAAAGCAATAGAGAGTAATTGTGGAAGATAGAAAGAAAGGTCGACTTATAGAGCTTAAGAAAAATTGGGCTGTGTTATGTGTTTTTTTTGACAAAGATTGGAAAATAGGGATTGCAATATGAGGTGTTTATCTTATGGCCTCGCTCTGTCACACACACAAATACACACACAAATATGTGCACCGTCAAAACGGAAGGCCAAATGCTGCTATTACAGTTAGCAAGACAACCCCTCCTTTTTCATTACACATCCAGGGAAGGATGATAACAGGCCATGACAGAGAAGTCGGAGAATACTGCATTTAGATTTTTAGTGTGGGGCGAATAGGAAAAGAATTTGGAGGAACGGTAAAAGATAAAATGTCCCCTCTGGAGTGGACTACTGCAATGCTGAGTGAAGAGTCAGGTTGAATCACATTTTTCTGCCCACATGTGCATCTGCAAGGAGTGTTACTTGGTGTTTATGTTGATGATGAACACACAGCTAAGGACATTGTTATGTGCCAGTGGGAGATACAGTTCCCCATTCTGTCCACCATTATACCCAAAACTAAGTACTGCAACACAGCTGTCTCTCAATCAGCCTTACGACCGTGAGTCTTCTGGCATTTGTAACAAGAACAAAACTGGAGTTTTTAGAAGAATTACTCTTGGGGATGGAACAAAACCTCAGCAGTAAGCTCAGTGATAAAAAGCGGGACTACATCTGCCACAGTGGCTGCCTCTGTACATACGGCTTGCCAGAGGGAAGTGGCTGTGCACCCTCTGTAGTTACTGCCAGTGCAGAGAAAAAGTGAACTTGTGTGTGAGCTTGAAAGTAAGAGAGTTAAATAGATGAAGGGATGGAAAGAGGAAGCCAGGCGGCTCCAGTATTAACAAGGAATGAAGAAGAAGGCGGAGGATGAGGGGAAAGGAGAGAGACGGATGGAGGCAAAGGGCACTCGCATCTATATCAATGAATAAGATCAGTGAGGGAGGGTTGGGCGGTAAATAAGAAGATGAGTGCACTGAGTGCATGGCTGCACGAGAGAAGGAGAGAGACGGAGAGAGGGGGAGGCAGAGTGACATAGAGTGTGTGTTTTGTAGGGAGTGTAGCAGCAGGTGTATCACCATACCTCCAACGTAGCCAATGTTACATGAAAAAGAGAAGCTTCTCTTTGCAACTTTAATGGAGGAGGAATGAAGGAGGTGAGAAAGATGGATTGAGCGCAGCTGCACCCACATCTGGGAAAGACAGGAAAAGATAAAGGAGGAGGAGGAGATGGCGAAGAGAGAGGGAAGGCATCCAACAGTTTAAGGGTGTGTGTGTGTGTGTGCGTGTTGTTACCTGGCCAACATTGCTGTGCTTGCCAGTTTTTGGCTGTAGTGGTTTCCAGCACCACTCCTCGTGTTGTCCCTCTACAGTGTCTGTTGGACTGCTGTAATCAGTATGATCTAAAGCTTTGGCTAATGCACATATTATCAAGACATGGTAAGCCATTTTCCTCAGAAGGTATGGCTTTGTAGTGGTACAAATAGCTGTAGTTGTCGCTGATCACCCCAGGGCCACTACATAATACGAAAAGCGAGCTAATCTGTAACATGGAGGCTGCTGGTGCTGTAGATTAGGAGAGAGATAGCATCCTGCTTGTGCATAGGATTTAAATGTAAGATCGTCAGCAATTAATGAAAAAACTGAACAGCAGCCAACCCTGGTGACCTGAGGGGAAACTGTAATATAATATGAATAATATTTGCACACATGCAAACATGTGCGGGCAAACACACATAAACAGCACAGGCATGCTCACGCCCACACACATGTGTTTTCAGAAATATATGGTAATACATGTGTTACAAGGTCGATTAATGCATGAATATTAAATAGATAATGGAAGAAATGCTAAACTAGATCCACATCATCATCACAGACACACAAACATGCACTCACAGGCGTTCCCACACACAAACAAATCTGTTCCCTGCCATCTTTTGTATAACAGGCAGCTTTCTCCAGGAGCACAACAGCAGGAAGTGATCAATTAACTTTTGTCCAAATAATTCAGGCTTTTCATCGTTTCAAATACGGTCGTTTGCCTGTGGGTGTCCAAGCCTTTTGTAAGGAGAGAGAGAGCAATTTTGTGTCTGAGCACAACTGTCTTTGTGTGTGCGTGTGTGTGTTTTTGTGTGTGCACGTATGTACATGTGTGCTAATTCTTCTGAGGAAACAGGCTTGATGATAGTGTGGAATTGGTGTTGAACTGTGTCCAGGGATAATTGTTGTGGGGGGTGTGTGTGTGTGTGTGAAGTGAGCAGGTTGAACCATTTAATCACAGCACAGGGTTGAATTCAAAGGAGCAATTAACGTCCAAACCTCATTTTCCAAAGAAACATGTTTGCTTTGTCCTCTGTGTTTATGTTTACCCTACGTTTAGG